ACAAGGACGATGTTTGTCGTAGGTTTTATCCTCCACTTAGGGATTGTGTGCGTCTGTGGATGGGCTGACCCATGTGTGTGGTTTGTTATGTTGTTAAAGTTCACCGGTAAAGGTTTGGTTGAATAGGTTGACTCACTCCCACGGAGGGAGGTGGAATCTTTGGTTTTTGTTGTGTTTGTTCTGATAGTGGTGTTGACCGGTGGTATGTGAGGCACGAGCTACTAAATAGGATTGTATGTTTCCTGGTACTAGCGGTGATAGTTAGGGGATGAGTTGTGAATTGTAAGTTTGAGGATGATTAGGTGAGGTGATGTGATGTGAGTCATGCACTCAGATGTTTTTTTAGGCGGTTGATTTTAGTAATGTCTTGAGGACAAATGTCGATGTCACCTTAGAATTACATGATTAGAAAAGGTGAATGTGGGATTCCATTGAGGAATAATAGGAAATATTGACTTTGGTTTTGAGATCTTAGGTATGAGATAGTCATATTGTGTGTTTTGACCAGGTAAAAATTGAATTGAATGATGTTACAGAGTTGTTTACCTAGTATAGGTGTTATGGGGAGATCGAAGAGCTTTTATGCTGATCTATGATTGTGGTATTTGGCGTTATGTTGCTTTTAACTTGTTACGAGTTGTGTGATTAAGGCATGATTGGGATTTTTAGAGTAGGTATGTGACTGTATAATTGTTAAGGTTACACAAAGTGATAGTTTGATAGTGAGTGGATCTCATAGTTGTTTTGTGGACTATGTGAGATTGTGTTTGATGTTTAGACTCGAGGACAGGAACGGCGTCTGTGTTGAGACCAGATCAATGATGACAATGGCCTGGCCAACCATTTCTCCTGAATCAGTCCCTCTTTAGCACGATGTTAGGTCAAAGGTCAATGATTATTTCGACTCGTCACAGATAGTGAGAATATGGTACTATGCGTTATGTCGGTGTGATAGTGTGGATTCAGATGATTTGTCTCGGGTGAAGAAGTGTATTAGGTAGGACCAAGTATCTGATAAGGGTTTGTGGTACGATCATTGATTATTGAATACCTTGTTTTGAGGATTTGTGTCATGGGTACAGGATATTATGTTTTATTGTTCTGGTGACTCATGATTATGTAGTCATTGGGAGATCTGTTGTTTAGTTAACTTGAAGTTGTTTAGTATGATGATTGTCGTATAGTGCAGTTAGTAGCCGCTGGTGCGGTTATGCAATGGTGCAGCTATGTGGTAATTAGCGAGTGTTTGGTTTGACAGGGATGTGTAGATTTGAGTTTGAGCTTGATTGTGAGATGTGAACGGGGTTCCTTGTTTGGGGTTTTGTGTGTCCTTTAAATGATAAGTTGAGATCGGATGTTGTCATGTTCAGGGGTCTTGTGACCATTCTTCTTTCAGGCTCCGAAGCCTTGCGTAGTAGTGTAAAGTGGACCGACGTCCATTTTAAGTCGGGTATAGCGTAGGGCGTACGAGCCTGTCTTATGCTATTATGTTGTGAATGATGAGTATCACATAGGGTGTTAGGTTAATGTTGCTAGTGGCAGTAGTATGTGATTGCTTATTGATATCCGGTGTCAAAGGCAATAAGGTTAGCGAGCTCACAATTTTGTGGTCTTATTAGGTGTTTCTCGAGAAGGTGTGTGGCTGTGAGCCTCCTTCTTTAAGGAGGGTAGAATTTGAGGACGAAATGTTTTTAAGAAGGGTAGAATGTAATGTTTCAGATTTTTATCATTTTTTATTTTCTGGAATTTTTCTGATTTTTTTGGGGTTGTCTCGAATTACGTGCCAGACATCGTAGGATGTGCCGGGTGTGTTTGGGAGTTAGTTGGAGCATTTCCTTGAGTTCAGGACTCTTGGGAATGCATGGGTTACCATTTTTGTATTTTTCTATTTTTTGGGTTGGGAGGTCCCAGGTGGGACCAGCTACCGGGGTCATTGTGCACGAGGGTTGTGTTTCGAGGTCAGTGCATTTCGTCCATTATTATTTGATGTACATGCATATGGCTATGTATTTATATAGGTGCTGTAATGTATTTGGTGTATGTACATTTATATAAGTATATGTTAAAAGATATTTTTATGGCCGTGGACCCCACCATTTATTTTTGGTCTTATATAATGGCCAAATGGTTATCATCTAACCATTTTCTGCCTCCTTCTTCTCCCGCAACTTCCCTCTCTCTCCATTTTCTATATATTTTTTTTTCTTTTCATTTTTTTAAGCCAAGATCCACACAAACCATTGAGAATTTGATTTTACCACTGAAGGCAAAGTTGACGAGCGCATCAAGATTTTCGTTTTAATCGGAGCAGAATGTTGTTTGGCCACCCTTTGGGATCTCGAAAATTGAGTGAATTTGGAGCTTTTTCTTCTAAATGAGGTAGGGGTATTCTAATCCACATCATCTTTGATTCTAGTGAATTTTCTTCCTTTAAATTGTTTCTAAGAATGCTTAAATTAATTATTTTGCTTATGATATTGAGAGCTTTGTGTATCAATGTGTTTTATGTGATTAGTTGGTTGAAAATATATGTTAATTGGATTAATAAGATAAAGCATGTTAAGCTGAAAGTGCATAAATGCTAAGATTCTATTTTGTCAATATATGAAATGATTCTTTGTGAACTTTTTTGAAAGCATGCTATCTACATTGTTGTGGTTGATTGCAATTTATAGAAAAATTGTATTTATTGTCATGGTTGAGGATGGCATGAAGCATTCATACATTTCATTGGGAATGAGAGGAAAATGTTGTTTTATAAGCAAATGAAATAAATTTTGGAAAAATTGTTTTGAAAAGTGTTTGCGAAAACTTGGACGCCTAGGAGGTGCCTAATGGTCCATGGCATTAATGTGATCTAGAGGGAATTAGGGAGAGACCCTAGCATGGTTGAGCTACCTAGGCCCAAAACGACGCCATGGAGGTGTCATGTTTTTGTAGTTGTTGCTGCTATGATATTCCCTATGGCATGATCCATTTTACTTGTATTTTATCCCTTGTATGGATTCACGGGGTAATTAAGAGGCGTGTCTTAGACACTTCCTATTAAGCAGTTGGTTCACCCTATTATTATTATTATCATTTTTCAGGATTCGGAAAAGAAGTGGCGGCCGACGTAGCTTTATCTATCGCATTTGTAAGTCTTCTGTGATGTTAGTAGTATGGTGCACAATAAACCTTAGGATGACGTACATATAAATTGTATTGACATTGGATAGGACTTTAATGTCCTTAGACGACCTCGGGTTAGGGTAAGAACCCGGTTAGCGATTTGAACCCCCGAGTTCGAGTCGTTATAAATACTACATAATATTTATTAGTTGTAAATATAATATTTGGTGGATATTAACTGTAAATATAATATTAGTCAATGTTGTAAATTAGGAAATTATTAATTAAGCCAGCTAGCTATTGTAATCAGTTTTCTGATTTTGCACTTGTATTTTCTTCTATAAAAAGAACCCATGTAAACTTGTGAATATTGTGAGCTAATACAGAGAAAATGTTTTTTTCTAAATTTCTTTCCCTTTCAAGTTTATAGGTGTCAAAGTGCTCACAATGCAAAGGTAGTGGGGGCGAACTCTGCCAATTTTTCGATGCACAATTTAAAGCTGGTGAATCATGTTGGCGCGAACATTGTCTTCCAAGAGATGAGTAATGTACCTAGGTATACTACAAAGGGAAAAGGTGGACTACTTTAGTTAGGTATCTTGTCTTGCTTTAATCTTCTGCTTTAAATCTTATTAGTAGCTCATATTCAGCTTGAATAGTAGAAAATTTTAAGGTACCCATTAATCGCTTCTTTTTCTTTGCAGAGGAAATAAGGATATGCTGTGTGGAAATTACAGCAGAGCTGGATTTTTGGGTGGTTTCATGATCACTTTTGATAGTTAAAAACATAGAAATTGCAAGAAGTGGTTTCATGACCACTTCTGATTTTTGGGTGGTTTCATGTGATGACCCTGTGGGCGGGTGTGCCGTGGGCGGGCGGGTGCGCCGTAGGCGGGTGCGAGAGACACTGTCAGGCTACCACACTGGCGAGTTACGGGTGCACAGTCCCACATCGCCTGGGTAGAGGAAAGGTGAAGTGCTTATATGTAAATGTGTCACCTCTAATTGGTATGAGGCCTTTTGGGGTGAAGCCTAAGAGCAAAACCGTGAGGGCTCAGGCCCAAAGCGGATAATATCATACCATGTAGTGGAGTGGGTCGTTACAAATGGTATCAGAGCCTGACCCAGCCGGAAGTGTGCCGACGAGGACGTCGGGCCTCCAAGGGGGGTGGATTGTGATGACCCTGTGGGCGGGTGTGCGGTGGGCGGGTGCGAGAGACACTGTCAGGCTACCACACTGGCGAGCTACGGGTGCATAAGTCCCACATCGCCTGGGTAGAGGAAAGGTGAAGTGCTTATATGTTAGTGCATCATCTTCAATTGGTATGAGGCCTTTTGGGGTAAAGCCCAAGAGCAAAACCATGAGGGCTCAGGCCCAAAGCGGACAATATCATACCATGCGGTGGAGTGGGTCGTTACAAATGGTATCAGAGCCTGACCCAGCCGGAAGTGTGCCGACGAGGACGTCGGACCTCCAAGGGGAGTGGATTGTGATGACACTGTGGGCGGGTGTGCCGTAGGCGGGTGCGAGAGACATTGTCAGGCTACCACACTGACGAGTTACGGGTGCACAGTCGTACATCGCCTGAGTAGAGGAAAGGTGAAGTGCTTATATGTAAGTGTGTCACCTCCAATTGGTATGAGGCCTTCTGGGGTGAAGCCCAAGAGTAAAACCGTGAGGGCTCAGACTCAAAGCGGATAATAACATACCATGTGGTGGAGTGGGTCGTTACATTTCATGATCTCTTTTGATAGATCAAACTGCTACAGTGGACATGCCAAATTTAAAGTATCTGGTTACAGGGTAATCTTATAGTGTTATTGTGTACATAGATGCCTGTCTAGTCATGTCTATGGTGTAAATATGGAGTTTTCAGGAATCAAGTATGTAGGTAAATTCAATTGCTATGCAATTTAAATATTTATTAGTGCAATTACTAACTTCTGTATGGTGACAGATTTGCTTACATTGGAGAGTCCAAGAGGATTTGATGGCATCTGAGTTTCTAAAGGCTCTGTATGAACTCACTCATCAACTTTTGAAGCAAACCGGTAGCCTCTGATTCAGGATAAAACACATGATATACATGATTCTCACCCTCCTCTTCCACCAGCTTCACTTCTTTCACCCCTTTCTTCTTTAAAAACTCCGCATACAACACTCCTCTTTCCTTCAAGAAGTCCAACCCCGCCACGAAAACCACCACTGCCGGAAACTGGCTCCACTCGGCTGCAGACAGCTCTGCCGTCTCGAAGTTGCATCCGTAATAATCACGGTCGGATCCCTCCGGCACGCTCAGTCCCCAAAACATGTCATTCATCTTCACATCCCCAGCTGCTCCATCCTCACTCTCTCTTTCAGTCCTCTTTTCACTTCCGAAATAGGGGTGAATCGGCAGCAATCCTTTGATCTTGACATGACAGCCTTGGTCCTGAATCGTTCTTACAGCAACCTGGTGAACGATGTTCCCTCCAGCACTGTCCCCTGAGAGGAAAACACGAGAAAGGTCAGCTCTTTCCAGCCACGGGTCAGAGCTTTCCTTGTGACTTAGCCACTCAAGTGCGCTATAGCAGTCCTCATAAGCTATGGGAAGCCGGTTTTCTGGTGCAAGACGGTAGTCCACGGATAACACAATTGATTTGGATGTAACAGATAATTCTCCGAGGAAAGAGTGGTACCCAATCCAAGTGGTTGAGCCAATGCAAAAACCACCACCGTGGAAGTAAACAAGAACCGGAAGCTGAGCAACGGATGCAGGGGTGTCAGGCAGGAAGATCCTAGCAGTTATCGGCTTTGACGGATTAATGATCACATCCTTGGACTTAATTCCTCTTGGTGATGATTCAGGGCATGCCGGGGCTTGTTCAAAGGCAAATCGTTTGACTGATCCGTCAGAGAAGGCCTGGATGAAACCCGGTGCTTCGCCTACTAAGGACATTTTTTCTTGAAAATGGAAGTGGTGGTGGTGAAGTATTGCACATGAAATTGCAGGGATTGTGATGGGCATAAATAGATGTCTGTTTTGGCTACTGATTAAAATATCTGTTTTGTTTGGTGGTTCGATGAAATGAAAGGTACTGCAATGATGATAGGATTGATTGGTGGGTTGATCATGTGAAGCGAGTTGTATCTGTGTAATATTCCATTCTAATCTTGTCTTTTAAATAACAATAATAATAATACTAAATATGGCTTGTAAAAGTGATAATATTTGTATATTCTTTTAATTGTTGGTGTGGGTAGAGAAAGTGAAGAAAAGTTGTGACATTTCAAAAAATAAATAAATAAATAAAATGAGTATGGCTGGTGGAGGTTGTGATCTTTGAATGTTGGTTTAATTTTTTGGTTGAAGTAGCTTGTTTGATACTTGGTAGAGAAAGTGGAGCATTAAATTCAAGAAAGATATAAAGAGAGTGTTGAGAATTGAATTCAAGAAAGATATAAAGAGAAAGTGGATCATTAAATTGAAGAGGGAGGGTGAAAAGAAGTACCATACAGAGACAGTTGAGAGTTAAATTCAAGAGATTGAACAGAGACAGTTGAGAATTAAATTCAAGAAAGAGAGTCAAAAAAAAGTATTAAATTCTAGAGATTGAACAGATAAGTAGTTGTTATTAAAAAAAAATAATAATAATAAAAGGAGATAAAGTACATCATTAAATTCAAGTAAAAAGGGGCATAAACTTATTAAAGCGCGCCAGGTAGGGGTCGAACCTACGACTTTCTGCTTAGGAAACAGATAAGTAGTTGTTATTAAAAAAAATAATAATAATAAAAGGAGATAAAGTACATCATTAAATTCAAGTAGAAAGGGGCACAAACTTATTAAAGCGCGCCAGGTAGGGGTCGAACCTACGACTTTCTGCTTAGGAAACAGACGCTCTATCCACTGAGCTACAGGCGCTTGAACGTTCAGCCTTCTATTTAAGATTTATTAATATAGTACTAAAGAGAACTCTGCAGACACGAGAATATCATTTGTTTTTATTTTCTTTTTACGTTTGATGACACTTCTTTTTTTCTGTGAGAAAATAAAAAGGTGAAGAATGTCATTAAGCATCTTAATATATTACTTTTAAAAAAAAATCTTGAAAACTTTTTTTTGAAGCACGCTCTCGTTCAAATTTTCATTACTTATGACTTAATTATACCGTTCTCACGCTTGCGTTCTTGAATTCGCTCTCATTCCCGCTTTATGTGACTTAGTTCAAAACCCACGATTAGAGGCCTGAGGGCCTAGCTCTTCTAATTCCAATTTTTTTTTTGTTGATGTAAGTTACTAATGATAAGCCCTTAAAGACTAATTGTTCTTGCTATAGTGAGAGAGATGGGAAAACTAAGGCTAAGTTTGGTATAGTGAAAAAGAAAAGAAATGATAATATTAATTAGGAGGGAAAAGAAAAGAAAGAAAATAAGAATATAGTGTTAATTGTTTATCGAGTTTGGTTGATTAATAAAAGAAAAAAAAATGAAATAATAGTAAATATATTTGGGAAAAGAATGGAAATGAAACTATTATAATGAATTTACAAACATACCATTTTTCATAAAGCTTTTCCTTTATAAAAATAAGAGTAAATTTGATATTAACAAAGTTTCATTAAAAATATGGGCAAATTTCTCAAAACCCCCAAAACTATTAAAAAGTGATCATAAAACCCCAACTCTGACAATTTGCCGTTAAGAATATGGGAAATGACTAAATTACCCTTATTATATTTTCTTTTATTAAAAAAATCAAAAAATTATATTTTTGAAATTACAATATTATCCTCTACAGTGTACCTAACAGTGGGTACAATATTAAATTCAACCGACATCATCACTCCTCTATCTCTCTCTAGCACGGCAACAAGAATTGGGTTACAAGAATTGAACCAGGGAAGTATTCACCACACCCAAGCTTACAAGATAGTCGTATATTATATAGAGAAAAACAAATACACCACCACCAACAATAGTCATTAGTCAATCACAATAGTTTTCTATTCTATTTAAAATTCAATTCGCATGATCAGATTTGCGATTGGGAGTTTTGTGAATCATCGACCTGATTTGCTAAATTTTCTATAACAATTTTTTAGAAAAGGATTGAATTTGAATTCGAGGGTTTGATACAATGACAATTTCTTAATCGCCGTTTATCGGCGAGCATAATCGTAATTGAGGGGTTAGGGTTTTGTATGGAAAATCAGCGCCAGAAGCGGGAGGAGGCCAATTCATCAACCCCATCATCTTCATCCTCTGGTCCTGCCACCCGTTCGAGGAAAAGAACTCGTCTCTCTGCAACTTCGTCTTCAGTCCCCGCCACCACCACCGCCAGCACAGTCGTTGTTTCGTCGACCTCCACTCGTTCCAGAGCTTCTCGCACCAAAAATTCATTGCCTTCTCCATCTTCTACACTGATGGAATCAACGAACAAGCCATCAGGGTTTGTCCCTCCTCGCGAGTTCGGTGGCCGATGTGGAAAGAATAACGGTTCGAATGAGGACAATTTAGATAAAGGAAAAGAAAAAGAGCATGAAGTTAGGGCTAGGGTTAAAGATAGGGATACCAAAAGGAGCTCAGGATTGAATATAGACGGTGGCGCAGACGATGATGATAATGACAGTGATGGTGATTAAAGGATTTTGCATCAGAATTTGACTTCTGCAAGTAGTGCACTTCAAGGGCTTCTTCGGAAATTGGGTGGAGGATTGGATGAATTGCTTCCATCATCGGCAATGGGAAGAAAAGACAGGCAGATGAAGATTCTATCGGGGTTACAGGCAGATGGGGAGGAAGGGCGGCAAGTTGAGCCATTGACGCAACTTTTGTGAGATGCTATGTATTGCGACAGAGGAGTCACTTAGCACATTTCCAGTGGAGTCCTTTGTACCCGTGCTCGTGGGGCTGCTTAACCACGAGAGCAATCCTGATATCATGCTTCTTGCAGCCAGGGCACTGACCCACGAGAGCAATCGTGTGTTGTAGTTGTGCATTATGGTGTAGTGCAATGCTTCATTATTTGACTGTATACAATTGAGTACATGGACTTGGCTGAACAGGTGAGCTCTGACCATATGTTTATAGAAGGAAATTTAAATGAATAATGCTGAATTATTAGTAAATCACGTTGTTAGACTGAAGTGGGTTTCGCAAAAAAGAAATGCATCGGACTGAAATGGGTTTCATGGACATCCTAAACCCATGACCAAACCCATAACTAGCTACCTCATCCTAGACTTATGGAGGAAAGAAGATGAACTAAAACGATGACACTATGAGTGTGTTTTTACTATTACAAGCTTGAGGGTATTTTTGGTATAACACATTTAAATAAACATTACTTGTTTGGCACATGTGACAGCAGGGGTATTTTCGTCACAAAAATTAATTTGTCAAAGCATTTGTTAACCACGTGCTGGGTTAACGGGGCCAATTGTCAAAGTTGGGGTAAAATGATGACGTTGCTATATTGTTGGGGGTTTTAAAAACTGGTTCGGATTTTATGATCACTTTTTAATAGTTTTGGGGGTTTTGATAAATTTGCCCTAAAAGTATTAGTCTTTTCTTCTCCTTCCTTCCACTTTTGAGAGAGAATAACAAAAATTACCATTCATTCCTCATTCTATCCCTCTTCCAAATCCTTTCTTGTCTTTTTCATTCCATCCAACATTTCATACCAAACTAACCATAAGTGATATATTTAACTTTTTGTGAGAAAAACGACTGATACTTTTTGGTTTTAATTAGATAAGAAATGGAACACTATAAAAGAAAGTGACATGTTGACGCTTTCAAAATTTTGCAAGCTGAACTACCCAAACGCGTTTGTTGCAATTGTTTTTTTATTTTTTTTCTTTTATTTTTCAGCAAGAAATCAAAAAAAAAAAAAAAAGTAATAATAAAATGCACTTTAAGAAAGTGGATTTCATTATTATATGAATTGAAATGCTAAAACATTCTTTGTATTTCCAAAAGCAACAATTATTTTCTAAAAACAAAAAAAAAAAAAAAGGTTTTATTTTATTATTATTCATGGGGAAAAAAAACAAATGAAGACATGACCAAATTGGCCCTCCAAACTTCTTCAAGCATGAAATAGCTTAATTCAGTGGACAGTTTTTAAACTTTTTGCTATTTCTAGCACTATGAAATTAAACAAAACCAACCAAATCTGTTTCCAATTTAACAGGAATTGAAAACAATAAAATATAATAAATCCAACTAGGTAGTTAAGTTGACTTAGTCTCTTGGTTACAATCAAGAGAAATAAATAACTTTGAGCTATTTTCAAAGTAAATAGTCTCGTTCACTTGGACGCATTCAAGAAAATGGTCATTAGTCACTTTAAATTAAATTGGACCGTATACCAATTCCCGAATCCCAACTGACAAGAACTCACCCACTTGCTTTGTAACATGACATATGGTCCACTTTGTTTTTTAAATTTGTATGACAAGAGGGAAGGAAAATTCTATAATATTTCGGCTATCATATTCTGTAGGCTCTCAATCGTTGAATGTGATAATTGGGCATACCTAATGAATGATTCAACGATTAAGAAATTTTAGAGTACAATATCCCAAAATATTGTAGCCTTTCTTGATAGAGACAAAAGACAAAAAATTATAATGGTGCACTTGTCTCTTATTATTTCTAGATCCCAAGCCAAACCTTATCTGACATCACCATTTTGTTATGTGAATTGTGGTCCATAAACAAGTGTACTTTTTAGGTAGGTTTTACCAAAGTTAAGGGAACGATAATAAAGAAAAAGGAAAAGAAAAAGGTCTATCAACTAAATTAGCTTATAATTTAGTTTAGGGCACCCAACCATGCATGCCTAAAAATGAAAAGTTCCAATTCAAATACATAAATAATAATAATAATAATAATAAAAAGACTCAGAAACCTGTCCTTTTTCTATGTTCAAGTTAGGGCCCAAGTAGGGGGTTAAAAAAAAGCCCAAGTATAATAAATTACGGACATCAATTCAAAATGCTTGGCAATTCCTCTCTATGTCAGATGTCTCTACTCTTCACCAATCCTGCCCCATTCACACTACTTGCCCACTTTAGGGCCCAAGTCTAATAAATTAAGGACATCAATTTTGATTAACTGGGTTTTAATTTAATCCTTTGATATCTTTTGTTATTCTCCTTTTTGAAATATGAGAAAGTATCACAAAATTTTAAAGTCAAGTGTATTAAAGAGATATTAAGAGAGTACTATTAAGGATTAATTAATAATCAAACCATCCTAATAATGAACA